ATTTGTTTTCTTCACGATCAGTTTATTAGAAATCTTCCGCTGTGGTGACTCCAGGCAGTAATATGTCTCAGCAGTTTAAAAAACAGCATTAAATGATTTCTACAATATTCTTACCCCTTACCTAACTCAGGGGGTATAAATTACGTATTTCTATTTCCCAGAACCTTTCTTTTTATGGAGGCAATGCCATTGATGCGCTGTCCTAATGGAAGAAAAAGGCCCTGTTGTTGGATCAGAACAGGTTTAATCCCCTTGACGTTTATCCTAGAATTTATCCTTGTTTGTTCGGATGGATTAGAAACTGGTGTCAGACTAAGCTGTGGCCTTTCGCCGATATGCATACAGTGGCTAAAACATATTAATCCTCTCCGACTTTCACTCAGGTTGTTTGTGTCACAACAATCATCACAATAGCCTGGTAAAGAAACCAAAAAGAGCAAACAAGCTCAAAAAGGGACTTTTTAAAACAGACCTAGTATTTCCAAATCCATACTTGTATTCTCGGACTCTACATGAGTATTTTTGCATGATTCAAACTTTAAAATAATCTTATACTTTTGTTCGGCTGTTCAGTTTAGCCTCTGTCTGAAGCAAGCCCTCTCTCTTCAAGCTGATTGGGTGTTCTTTGTAAAAGAACTGCTGTATTAATTAGTTACTTACATGCATGCAAATCTCATTAGATGGCAATGTTTCTTCTAAAAGCATCTGCCACTGTGGACTGAAAGGTAATGCAATGCACTGCAGACCTGTTTAATATGCAGCTGTTGTATGACTCATGTAAGAATTAAAGGCTCGCCAGTTCCTACGGGTAAAAAAAGAATGGGGAACAAGAAAAGTTAGAACCGTTTAGAGTAAAAGAGAACTGAGTAGTTTTGTAATAACTACTCTACTTACTCTACTACTTACCGTGTCAGTACCAGCAAACAATACTATAGTTCAGACAAAACTTATTTTCACTATTTTCGTGTTCTGTTCACAACCAAGAAAAACAAAAGATCAACTTGAATCGGTGACGGCATCGCAGAAAGAGGACACAGCATCACAGTTTCAGTTTACCAGCAAGAGTTGTTTCATTGACACAGAAAATTAAATAAATATAAAAAGCTGGAAATCTGACAAAAAAGAAACAAAAAGAAAGAAAGAAAGAAAGTCTGGGCCAGTCAGGCAATATCCCGTAGGAATCAGAACTTCCCTGAACTAATGAGGCAAGAAAATTAAACCAACAAACAAAGGAGTGAAAAAAACAGACCAAAAAGGAAAATAAATAAATAAATCCTCACAAAGAAGTCGGGGACTGGAAAACTACTCAGTCCATGAGAAAGAGAGTGTCTCATAATATATATTATATATATATTATGTCACGCTGCTTATCTAAGAAAGAGAGAAGAAATGATTCAGGGAGGAGGAAAATGCTAAAGTAAATACTGTATGTAACACTATGATTCAAAGTTGGAAAATGCTAACTACTCTGAAGCACTACATGAATGTAACAAACATTTTTGGGGGAGAGGGGTTACTGAAAACTAAAAATAAAATGATACTCATCAATACCAGGATGCATCTATTTAGTTTGTGCTACTCAGAATGGGTACGCACCTTCAAATAATGAGAAACTTGTCAATCATTTATGCAGTGCAGCAATGTACTGAAATAACAATGTTATGCCAGTGGGCGCTGTTCTTTATAGTGCAATACAATGAAATCAAATGATTAATCCCCCCACCCACCACCGCCACCCCATTTGCAGCCATGAGAGCTGTAAGGTTTTAAGCTTGACACAGCAGGAAACTGCCACAGTTTAGACAGCATCCTAATTGTGATGTTAATGTTCTTCCCCATATATCCAGGAGCTGATTCGTTATTTTGCTAACAGGGGTAGCCCACCAACCCCAATCCTATCAGCAAGCCAACATATGTGGATGGCAGGATGACAAGTTGGATGCATCCAACTAAAATTCCTGCTGATAATAGTACAGTGCATGTAATATTCTAGGAACTGTAAGTACTTTATTGTTACCTTCTTACCTAATACTGTGTTGCATTTATGCAACTAAAACCTCATATAAGACACTAAATGGAATACTTAAAAATAGTGTTTATAGTTCATATTATATATACTTATAATATCAGAATAAACCAGGGGGTCTATCTTCACATAAGGAGAGCATGCTGACAATGATATCTGAGCCATATCTGTTATATTGCTACTTAGGATACGCTCTATACTTTATACTGATTAAATCACTAAGCAATAAGCTCTTAGTTTGTGTAGGTTTCCATGGTTCATTGTACATCATTTAAAGCCTCATATTGGGAACATTTACATAAGCAAAAACAGTCCATTCACCACCTTTCAGTCAGGAAATTCGATTCAAGGTTGGAGCCATTTATCAAAACAATAACAGACGTGTTGGTTTTGTAGTTTTTACTGATGCAATGCTCCAACTTACTATAACTACGCTTGATTAACAAATCCCTGAGCTTCAGATTCCTCCATTTATTTAGATTCCAACATTTAGTGAACTTGAACATATATTTTAATAAACGTCCAGATACTAATTTGTTACAAATTACACCCAGAGGATGATGTGAAAGTGTTGCAGGTTAAAATTGCCAAGCAGACAGTAATGAAGCATCAAGGACGAAGAGTTTCTTTTATCTTTGCTGTAAGTCATATTGAATGCCACTTCACAGCAGGATGCAGATATCTACGATATGTGAGTCGACAATAGTGGACAAGTCAGGACTTAGATATTTGCAAAGCTTTCCCAGTTTGTATACATTTGCCTTGGGAATCATTAAAATGAACAAACTTAGAAAAAACAATACAAATTGAATGAACCCTAAGTTTATTCCTCTCGTAAATGAATACGCAGTCTGTTTTTTAACAAACAAATTCAATTTACAGTGACTCAGAATTAGGAGGCTGTTTGTACTGATTTATAAAAGATAAGCAATTTGGATTCATAGATATACAATACATAAACTGTCCACTATAAATGATGAACACCGACTCACTCCTCAGTGTCTCTTTCTATCACTGCCGCCGGTGCCTGTAGCTATACAGCAGCTCGTATATTTGCGTCTGACTGCCAAGCAAATTTTATGCGAGCTTTTTGAAATGTCAGTGGAAATAAAACGTGAATTAGGAGTATTTTCCATCACTATGTTGAAAACAAACTGGCATCCCAAATGTCAACAACGAGATCTGCAAGTACATCAGAGAGAATGAGCTGTGTGAACGTGATTGTTGTTACTGCTCAGTGTCACAGCTATTTCATACTTTAACCTCAAAACACAAACAAAGACACGTATACTACTATGTATACTACAGACACGTTAGACAAACTAAAACCACAACTCCTAACGAAACGGCAGGGGTTATTTAAACATAGAACCAGTTAGATACAAACTTCTCTATGAGAAAAACACCAATGGTTTGAATATATTTGATTTAACTGAAATTAAAAATGATACTTCTTTGTAAATAGGAGATCATTGAGTGCATTTTCGCAGTTCCAGCTCGCTCTAATTTGACGCATAATTTACAAAAATGCGTTTTTGTAATAACCACGTCTTTTATCTGTCACTGCATGCTGCACCCTCTTCACATTTGCACGACATTGAATTGTGAACAATTCAGTGGATAAAAGGATGGGGGGGAAAAAAGAGGTCACAGACTGTCAGGAGCAGCACATAAAGAAGCAGAGAGAAATCTACATTGTTTATTGAGAAATGACAGCCAAAGCCAAGGGTGTGGTGTACAAAGAATGAAAAGTCTCATTTTCCAACACTGTTAGTCTGAAGCGGAAATGTACTGAAAAAAGAAGAGAAGAGGTAAACAAGGGCTAGGCAAGAGTACACCAAATGTGACCAGTGAGCCAAAATAAAACTTCTATGCAGTAGATTTATGCTGTCAATGAATATTTATTGATCCTTGTACTGTCAGTATGATGTAAACAGGTGACAGATTTAACGGTGCTATATTTAAATGTGCTGTGCTCATACGCAATCACAGAAGTGTGAGGTTTAGCTTCCTTTGTTGAAATGGTAATTATTATACATTATCATAAACTGGGTCTTACAGCTCCAGCTACAGCACGCAATATATAACAGTGAAGGCTATAAATACATTGTAACCAACAATATGTTTATAGCTTATATTTTCTAAAACATGAGAGTTAAAAACAACCAAAAACACACACAGATGATGAAACAAGTTGTAAAGAAATCAATAGTGCAGTCAAGACATATTGAGTTGGCACACTTTTTTTACGTAGTTTTTACACGTTGGCACAGGAAAAGAGAACCTGAGGTTTATTAAAAGCCTGTTTGACTGTCGATGGCTTGTTTGACTTTTATTGGTACCGTTACAATTTTGGATCTTATTTTAAAAAGACAGTCACTGACATTTTGTTTGCATCAAATGACTTGCATCAGCTTAGGCATAAACATCAACATCGTAATATTTCTCATTTTCATTTGCTTAAGCAATTTGCTGTATTAGTACTCGCATCTGAAGCTCTAATCCTCCAGTTTTTGGTAGCGCTCTTTAAGATTTATGGAGATAAAAATGTTCACATACATATTTTTCTTAAAGACACAGTGACATTAAAAATACATTTGTAAGGCTGTAATCCTGCTTCAACAAGTTATTTAACTTGCAACAAGTAAAATTATAATGATTGTGGAGCTTTCGACTTTGAGTCATTCAAGCATAATTCTGAATGATTTTTATTCAAACCCTCTTTCGGCTGTCGCGATCCACATATTTAAGCCACATAGTCTACATCATAATACACAAACTAAAGATCCTCCAACCATCATTTCACTTCACTTTACAGAACATAACTTTAATCCTTTAATTCAGCCTGGAAACAGCGTCGGCCAAACTTCTCAAAACTGCAGAATCACCTTTTAGTAATTGGCTAAACGCACTACTTGGTCGTTTCTGTATTTCCCGCTGCGCCGCTCCTCTTCACACGATGTCCTCTCTCATTTCCCTTTGTGCTTGTTGAAAAGAGCGTAGAGGACTTTCAAGGTTGCAGTGGTGTCCAGAGAGACAATATCTGTCACAATATTCAGAGGAGACATAATCCACATGCAGCATCCTTAAGCCACTGAGGCGGTAAGAACATGCGGACACTTTTTACCAGCATTAGCTAATAGCTACTCTCACAATCCATCCTAAGAGGTCATAGATCAGGAGGACAAAAAAAACATTAGATGGAAACTTAATCAATATGTCCTTGGTGAGATAAGATCCCTACAAAATTGCTCTCTGTTGTCAGATGCTCTGACTGAATGAATGTGACAGAAAGATCGACTTCACCATTGGCTAACCTAATTAATTCACGCAGCATGCTCTCATTTTAGGACCTGAGAGCTGGGATTCCTCATTCAGTGGCTGCAATTATGCCGTTAATTAAAAAGACACTAAAAATGAATTAAATTACCCACTCGCTCCTGGCACAGATTAATTGTGCTAGTCCTTACATTAACAGTTATCGTGTCGAGGATTTATTTTACAATTACAGGCTCTGTGGCTGGGAGGCAATATGGTGGGACAGCTTTAGCGATCTAAAGAGAGGAAGATTCAAGTTTAGAGGGAAGTTCCTCCTGTCAATAGTGCATCTGCAGGGAAGTGGAGTGAATCTGCTTGCCACTGATTGATTCCCACACTTAGAGGAGTCAGTAACTCAGCCGGTCACCTGCTCGATTTCACTCTCCGCCTTATGGAATGATGTAGTCTATGTGACCGAAGGAAATTACCCAAACACACACATGAGCGTTGCTGGTGGCATACGATGTAGTCATACCGCATGAACCCACCACAGATGTATGCTTTAAACTTGAAAATAAACAAAAACGAATGCTGTAGCTTTATGACTTCCTAGAATTTGAACCTTTTCATGTGTACAAGTGGCCATTAGAGATCATGAGTATATGTCAAAGAAAGTCGGCATCTTGCATGCTAAATAACATAACATCCATGAGGGCTACCTGCAACAACGTCACAAGCAAACAGTGATTGGCTGTAAGTGCAATTGGCGTTTGGCAAATTCTTTTTATGTGGATGGGGCTTACAACAGCAAGCCTACACCATTAAAAACAGCCCCCAAACACACAAACATGATATTTTGTTATAATAAAAAACTAACCTAAACATACAAAACCTTGATCTGGTTCTTCATCTAATATTGACAAAAATTATGTTTGTAAATATTGAATACAGTTGATTACACACTGTAAAATTCACTAAAGCTGCCATTAATCCATCCATTTTCTGCTGCTTATCTGGGTCTGGGTTGCAGTTTAAGCAGAGAAGCCCAGAGCTCCCGTCTCCCCCAACCTCCTCCTCCAACTCATCCAGATGGGGGGACACCAAGGTGTTCCCATGCTACCTAAGAGATGTAATGTCTTCGGTTTGCCCTAGCTTCGCTCTGAGGCCTTCTCCTGATAGGATATGCCTGAACCACCTTGATTAGTTGGCCCTTCGGATACCCAAACCACTTCAACTGTCTCTTTTCCATGTGAAATATTAGCAGCAGTCTTCAGTAAGACAGATAACACAAATTCATTCAGATAAACACCCACACATTGATATAGCCTAGTAACAGTACAGTAAGGATCAATCTCTGTGTCTAATCATCTATAGTGATACTCATCATGGCACGAGCGGCGCTCATTCATATTCAGCACGCTATTCCATCTCCCTCTCCAAAACACTCTCAAACTCTCACTCCACGGTGTAGAGCACATTAATTCAGCAATCCCCTTCCTTGCATGACATACAAACACATTTTAGCATTTTTTCCGTCATCCAGATAAATTCTCCTGATAAAGGGCATCATCACTGAATTAGTTTGACATTGGTGTCTTGGAGCGCTGTAGGATTTCATTTTTTCATGGTAACGATCATTTTATCTGCAGGCCTTTTTTCTTCTTCATCATCTGTGCCTGGCATTTCAATCTCAGTAAAACAGTCATGAACAAGTTCTGAGTGTGTTATGTGTGAACAAAGTGGATTTGTCTCACCTTGTGGGTCAACACTGGAGAGCTGAAAGCCTGTATCCTTCAAGAGGTCCAAGGCCAAGGTGACATTATGAAGCTAGAATTTTTTGAAAAAACAACAAAAAAATTTCAAATGAGATAATTCTGCAATGAACCACACTTATTGTAAGACTATATCACATACAACAAAAGCTATATTCTACCCCACTTTTGGTAAAAAAGTTGACTCTGTAACAACAGTAGAGATATTTATTGAATAAACTGTACTTTAGTGCTGAACTTACAATTATGAAGTGCTTTAACTTTAAATTTGAAGATTTCCATTTTATAATACTTGTATATTTTATTCCACTATGATAATATACTACAAGCCTTTTGTACTCTGGTGCTTTTATCGCATAGTAATAGCTATAGCTACTAATTACTTTTAAAATCATACATCTATTTTCTTAAATGCTTTCCCAACTAGGGGCATGGGAGGGCTGGAGCCTGTCCCAGCTAACATCTGGCAAACACACAGTATGCCCTGGAGTATTATACAACCCTGGAAATGTTAGTGGTCCATCACAGGACCAGCACAGAGAAACAGACAACCATTCACACCAACTACAGCTAATTCAGAATCACCAAATAACCTGACATTTATGTTTTTAACAACAACAACAACAACTTTTATTATGGGGACCGTATAATATTCATTTGATCATATCATATCTTTTAATGGGCACTGTTCTGGGTCATGTTTTAGTACTGTATCCAAGTGATCGGCTGGGAATTAGATTGATAGATGATCAGATGAAAAAGTGCACTTCATTCCTAACACTTGTGAACTGAATAAAGGAATTTGTGTGAATGCGTACACTGCACCAAAAATAAAATACGTTTGAACAAAATTTTGAGTTATATTTTGAGAAAATAAAGCTTTGAATGTGGCATGAATCCATATATGTGAATCTATACTTTACCATCTCAGAGTCACTGACAGGGGTCAGGTTGAAGTCAAAGAGCGGGATGAAAAAACCCTCCAACTGTCCGATCAGCAGCAGCAGAATCACACCATCAGCAAACTGGACAGCAAACCCACAGAGCATTGGAACATTGAAAGTGATAAGGGAAGTAATCACTGAGTCTATTTTTGTCAAAAGAAAGCCTGTAAGCAGTAGAAGGTTTCCAGCTGTTGGTGTATACCTGTTTGTCCATATCTATCACCTGCAGACCCAGAGATGATATATGCTGGTTGACAAAGTGTACCAGGGCCTACAACAGAGAAATTATAAAACTGTGCAGTTTGAAATGCAACTTGACAATTTAGGGTATCTTCATCAAAACCCAAAGCATTAGTTGGAATGGTTAATATATCAGACTCTTAAAGTAGGACATCTAAACTTGTTCATTCTGCACCTCGTGTAGCTCACTCGAAATCAAGGAAAGTATTAGTCAGCCAGCAAAAAACGACTGCCCTTTTAAAATATGAGATTTTTTTGTCTCTTTCTCTCTGTGAGCTGCTTTGTGTCAGCCTATAGCTCATTTCAGACTTTGTTGTCCTGTATTTCAAGTGTTCTCACAACTCTTGTGTTCAGTCATTTAGTTATCTTAGTCAAATATTGGAACTTCTGGCTCCAAAATCCTAAAATTGAGTCTTCAAAACAGGATTTCACTAACCCATGAGTGTTGTCATGGTGGCTACTTCCATTTTTTTACATGCAGTCTGTGAAAATTATTTGATTTTTTTTTTTTAAAAAGAAAGAAAGAAAGAAAGAAAAAGATCATGCTCAACAGTATTTGAAAATCATATTTTGCAAGAAGGCCAAAAAGCCTTACAAGCACATTGGATTAAGAGTCCCGTCCTTCACCAACCAGCTCTGTTCATCTGCCATGTATTGAAGGTTCAGATCAGGCAACAAACACACAGCGTGACATTTATCATTTGTGTTAACACCACTGGAGTTCCTCTCTCTCTAGAGATGAGAAAGTCAACACCTTTAAAAAATCTCGGCACTTCTTTACTTTTTCTGGTGTCCTTGTTATACCTTTTTCACTGTGTTGACCTTGTGAGCCTCAAGCTTCAGCAGTTGCTCGATGGGATCTTCCCCTGGGTGACCAGACAGCCAAAAAAATGTGTTAGTAGGCTGTAATGCTTTTTGGATGACATTCAAGATGTCACATCAGCTCAACCTCTGACCACTCTCACTCACTTTCAGTATTGCTGAGGGAGTCTGTGTCGCTGCTGAAAAGGCAAAAAGGATTTATATATATATATATATGAGGTGAGTTTTTCTTCACATTTACAGGATCACACGAGGCAGTAAGCACCTCACCTTCCCTCTGTTAAGATTTCCACTTGCACATCTGATTTGATTCCACTTTTGCTGACCTGGGTGTACAGCACACCACAATGAGCAACAATTACACAAAGTGTGTCTGAAACCATCCTGGAGCAAAAGAAAAAGTGCCAAAGTTTGACAAGAACAACTTACTTCTACGACTACAACTTCAATCTTCACATCAGAGGGCAAATCCAATTCAGGCTGGAAACATCTCACCATGGCAACAAGCAGATGAAGGGTGGCCAGAAGGTCCTTGTTGTGGATGACTGACAGGTAAACAGCAGAGGACCAGACACACACAAAAGAAAAATCGGCCGATGTGATCAAACTCTCTGCTACCAAGTATGCACACAAAGCAGGGCACGAGTGTCTTTGATAAATAAGAAACTGACACTTGGCCCCATAACCTACTTACCATTAGTACTCACCAGCAGCTATTTTCAATATCAATCCAGTTTTCAGCAAATCTAAACAATAGCATTTATTTTTATCTATTTATGTCTTCACTCTGTAAGTAAAACTTTCTCCACAGCTAATGATCGGAGCACTCCCATTAAGAACAACTCCATGATGACCCTGTTAGACAATATTACCATATTATATTGACCTTCTTGGTAATATATTATCCTTATTATTACTCCTGTTGCCTAACATTAAAAGAATTTAAATGGTGATGCATGTACAGCCCTATTTTTAGGTTTTTGTTTTTTTAATAAAAGCAACAAGCAAATCCCATAAACTGAGATTTTATTCAGACTAAATCAATTCAATCAATCAAAATTCAGAATGTTTAACATGAGACAATTTACTCTTTTATGAAAACTGTTAGCTCAGCTGCTGCCATCAAAGTCAAAATGACCTTATTTTTTCTTAACATTTTCTCAGTTCATCAAATCATTGGATTTGATTTTTATTTACATTTTACACTGTACACTAACTTTGTTTGAATTGGGGTTGTACTACAGAACAGCAGCAAACATGATTATCACCAAATCATGTTTAACTTTTAATTAGCATTCGCACAGATTAGTCTTTTTTGATACGTTTCCCTGTCTTCTATTTGGATTCACCCTGAACAAAACGCAAAGGAAGGCAATGAAAGAAAGTGAAATAATTGTAGTCAAGAATCTGACAGCTGCCCTGCCAGGTTATGTTGTGTCAGCCCAAGAAAGAACATTTTAGGTAAAGTGTTCAGCAGTCTATAAGTTATTTCTCTGCATAACCAAGCAACCAGCACTGACATGTGATTAAAATGAAACCCTATAATGTCAGGAAATTTTATCTCCACCAAAATCCTGCGCAGTTGGTGTAAGCTTACATGCTACCCTTGTGATAGCACCAAATCCTGTTGAAATGAGAGGGTTGCCAGAAGAGAACATTTGTTGACTTGTTTGTTTGCGAAGCCCAGTCGGCAGCATGACTCACGTTTGACGTTCCATTTGATCTGACTGCTGTCCTGCGTGCCCAGTCTCTTGCCCAGCTCCTCCATGATTATTTCCAGCTTGCGGATCTGAGCTGTGCTGGTCAGCGCTATCTCTTCCACATTCAAATGCACGTCGGCCAACCTGGCTGAAGAAATCAAGAAACAACCGAGTATCATTATAGGGTCTGACTGACAACAACCTCCAGCTTTTTAACATAATATCTGTTTGTTTTTCATCCTCTCAGTCAAATCACTATCAAACGCAAGTAAGTATGATAAATGAAATATCAAATATTCATTATCTCACACAGCAGGTGATGAAGTACCAGTCCATCATACACATCCTCCTCCAGACTCTGAACAACGATGTGCTCGGGTTTCAAAGTCTTATTGATCCAATCAACCAGTGCCTACCGAGATATAATTCATCACACGGTCAGAGAAATTATCCGCTTTCATCTTCTTGCATACATTTTTCCTTTATCAGTGTTGCAGATGAAGAAAATAAAACAGCAAGAGACCCTGTTTTTAAAGATTGTGCTTTTGGATCCCGAAACAGATAATAATAATAATAATGCAAGATACAAGTGCTCATCTAAAAGAAAGCTTATATTTCACTTGTTTTCCTCTCAAGTTTACATATAAGATGTCAGAATTATTTCAATTTTTCCTTTTGTGTGAAACATTAGCGCTGCCCTCTTTACAACAATATGTTTAAAATTCTGATCCAGCAGAGTCTGCTGGCTCCTCGCTGTGACATCTGTCTCCCATCTTCTCTTATAATTATGCTCATTAAAATTTCACCCATCCTCACACCTTATTCCTGTATGCAGCCCACTAAAGACACAAAGGTAATCTCAGATCTGCGGCTGTCCAGGACGGGCGTTTGATGTTACAGTAAATGTGAAATAGAAGAAAGCGAATCCGACATGTGCAAGGCAGGGATTCATTTCTTACCTCCTTCAGCTTTTCAAGTTTGGGGTCTTTTAAAGATGTTGGTTGTATGAGTTTCCTCTTCTCCCCTGTAATGGACATGAAAACAAAACTGCGCTAGTCTCTTGCGTCACCCAAAGTGCATCTGATAGCTCTCTTTAGAATTTCTGCTTTGAATATTTCAGTGATAGGTTTTACATGTTTTGGCAGTACCACTATGTTTGCTGCTTATTCACAGATACTTTGAGGTTGGCCATTTTCAAATGCATTCCCTTCATACATCCAGCCCTCCCGAGCAACATAGAAATCAGCAGAGCCCGCAAAGCTGTTTCGGTTAGTCTAATCTATCTCGGCAGAACTTCTAACTTGGCAATATAATGAAGCTGCGAGAATCATAATTTTATGTGGAGTATGGATCAAAGAATTATTCGAAATCTATTGCTTTACTTAGAAAGACAAGCCCACTCCAACTCTGCTGTATGGAGCGTCTTGCATCTTTATGCAATGCTTTTGAATTGTGGCCAATTTCAGCTCCCAACAGAACTGCTTTCTCGATGAAGTCGGTGTTTTATAAACCCATCATTCGGTACACAAAAACTTTGATACTAGCCGGGGAACATAGTGGAGGATTCAGCAAATTAAAAACCAGATATTCACCCCAGGAGGTGGCAGAGACCAGAGCACACCAGATTTCACATGAAAGAGAATACTGGACCTAAACTCATTTCCTCCATGTCTGCTAAATGTGTAAATGAGCAACTGTCACCTTTCAAGTTCACAACATCAGTGCCCCAAATGATCCGAAGGTCATGTCCTGCAGGTTTAAATGATTACAGATAGACTGGACACGTCTATATTCATTATCCTCATTATATAATATTGGCGAAAGTCTAATAGAAATGCACGAGGCAGACATGATTTTCAATATGAGGTCACTGGGATGATCTTTTACATGTGCCACATGAATCACTGATGACTAAGATTGACCTTTTGAGTAAATGCAAACATACCCTGAAAAGACTCAAGTTCCACAGGCTCTTCTTCTTTCTGATAATTAAAGATGTTCTCCTCCATCATTCCTCTGCAAAGTGATATCTTCACCTCTGCTGACCTGTCAACACATTTACATAAAATTACAACAAACTGCAGGAATTTCTAATACACAGTGTATGATATCAATACAAGATCAAGCAGGGTTCTCAAAGTT